ACCAGAAAAGACCTAGAATAGTAAAGGCAGTACTGGCCAACAAAGACAAGGCAGGAGGCATTACAATTTCTGACTTGAAATTATACTACAAGGCTACTGTGATAAAATCAGCATGGTACTGGCATCAAAATAGACCTGAGGATCAATGGAATAGATTACAAGACGCTGAAGCCTCTAGAAACACTCAGCCACCTTATCTTTGACAAAGGTGCCAAACATACTCACTGGAAGAAAGATAGCCTCTTTGACAAATGGTGCTGGAAAAACCAGTTCTCTCCATTCTGAAAACTGAAACTTGACCCAGGTCTATCACCACGCACTAAGCTAAAGTCAAAATGGATTAAAGATCTAAACATTAAAACACAAGACACTAAATCTCCAAGAGAAAGTAAGAGGAATTCTTGAAGACATAGGTGTAGGCAAAGACTTCATCAACAAAAATCAAATCACACAAGAAACACTTGAAAGAATTAGCAGCTGGGACCTCCTCTTATTGAGAAGTTTTTGCACGTCAAAAGAAATTACCAACAAAATGAAAAGGCAAGACACAAATTTGGAAAAAATCTTGACAAATAAGTACTGAGAAAAAGGTCTGCTCTCTAGAATTTATAAAAAAAACTAAAAAATACTAGGGCCCCAAAATTTGAAGACCCAGTCCAGAAATGGGCATCTGAGATGAACACACACTTCTCAGAAGATGAAATTAAAGAAGCGAATAAATATGTGAAAAAATGCTCCACATCACTAGCCATCAGTGAAATGCAAATTAAAACAACACTGTGATATCATCTCACCCCAGAAAGAACGACTATCATAAAGAAATCACCCAACAACAAATGTTGGAGAGGCTGTGGGGAAAAAAGAACCCTACTCCACTGCTGGTGGGAATGTAGACTGATGAGACTGTTACGGAAATCAGTGTGGAGACTCCTTAGAAAACTAGGACTGGAAATCCCATTTAAACCAGCTATTCATCTACTGGGAATTTTCCTGGAGGATCTGAAAACATCATATCATAGTGATATATGTGTGCCTATGTTTATAGCAGCACAATTTGTAATAGCCAAATCTTAGAAATAACCAAGATGTCCATCACCTGAACAATGGATGAAAAGGATGTGATATTTTTATAAGATGGTGTATTACTAAGCTATAAAAAATGATAAACTCGAAGCCTTTATATTTAAGTGGGTGGCACTTGAACATATATACTCATAAGTGAAATAAACCAGACACACATGTAAATATTGTATAGTTTTCCTTGTATAAGAACTCAAAAGAAGAAATACAAATAGAAAGGTATAATTCAATTAAAAGGAAAGCAAGAACTTGAGGGCTACCCAATGAAGAAAGAGCAAGGAGAAGAGCTAGGAAACATGACAGAGGCAAGCCATACAGTTATATGTACAAAATGGGTAAGGCAATGATCCTGAGAATCATCAGAAGATTTTTCTATCTAGCAATTAACTGGAAGGATTCTCACCCTCATTATATATACTGACACCTGTGAACTGCACTGAAGATACACTGAAGCAACTGCACTGAAGATGGCAATTTGTAATAGTAGGTTCAGGCTTGGAGTGCCTGTCATTCTGGTCTTCGGAATATGGGCTGTTTGTCATGACATGCCAGTTGTTTTCGTGCGTCTCTCAGGCAGATGATTGTTTAAAAAGGAAGAGGGTGGTGAATGAAGGCAAGAGACAGGAAAAGGAGTGTTTCAGGACTGTCTTGCAACAATGTTGTATATGGTTAGATTTCTGGACTTATGTGTAAACATATATAATTCTTTATTCCTATTTTTTAAATATATTTTAATTTTTTAAATTTTTTGTCATATTCTGTAGGGACTTAAAGTTTAACATATCAATACTTGATGATAAAGACCTGCTCCATGTTATGCCTAAGATGCTTGACATTCAGGCAGATAGTGAGGTTAAGCTCAACAGCCTAGGTTATATGGTAATAACAATAAGCTTCTCTTCTAGAGGGTTAACAATCTAAGTTTGCAGACCACAAATTAGAGAAAAAAGAGGGCTGGCAAGGAAAGCCAACATTTTGGCCCTAGCCTTCCAAGGTCAATTAAGACTCAGAACATATAAGAACTTGTACTATAACATCATGTAACTCAGTTGTTTCCCAAATTTTCTGATCAAGGAGATTATGGGGCCAAACAGGAAAGTGATCAATGATGTAGTGTGCCTAAGGAGAGTCACATGGAGAGAAAACATTCTGTGAGGCTTTCACAGAGACCACATTGGCCAAGCAATGGCCATGACTCATCCACATGGCTGACACTGATGAAGGTTCTACAATCTGAGGTACAGGGTCTCAGGATAAATCCTGAGGGGACTTCACTGACCTTATCAGATGCAAAAGCTACAGCTTTTGTTGCATAGGTCTTGCTTTATCTTGGTCTTAACCATCCAGCAGAAAAGTATAAAAATGAAGCATAAGAAATAAAGCCATGGTGTTATGTTGAGCTGTAGGGGACTCAAGTCAACAATTTCTGACATTGCCAGTGAAGCGGAAGACCCAATACTATTATGGATTACTGGACTCTTTTAGAATATTTTGCTGAGTTAACACACCTATAATATTCAAATGACAGAACTAAACAAAAAAAGGGGATACAGATGAATGTCCATTTTGTATCTGTGTATTCAAAATGGTTAGAATAGATATATAGTTACATTCTCTTAATTCAAGGAATAGAGGCATTTGTTCTAATAGTGTTTGTAAAAAGGATATCATGTCCGCATCTTGTACAGCAATTAACCACTAGGAAGAATGTATGCAATGTGTTAATTATTGAAACTGTCCTACCAATTATATTTGAAACTGTCTCATTGCCATTTACTTCTCAATAAAATTATGGGAAAATTCTGTAATTCAAATTGATTGTTTAATTACAATGTAGAATAAACCTTAATTTGGGATGTTTCAAGGAAAAAATTGCTAAGATTTTGTCTTTCACTTTCACCAAAAAGGAAAAATAAACACTTCTTAATAAGTAGTTTAAGAGTTTGATATGTACCTATTAATTCCCACTACTAAAGAAACTAAAGCAAAAGGATCACTAAGAAGTTTGAGACTAGCCTGTGTATTATTCAGCTTTTTTAAAAAAATGTATTGGTTATTTAATTAGGTTCTTAGTAAGAAATTTAGAACACGAATTTATGATCAGAGCAAAAATGGATCGCAGGTAGCCCTGGAGCTGAGGAACAGCTCTGATTTTTGCTAAAATCTGTGAGTCCACCACTTTCTGATCCACCTTGGGCTGCTCGAAATCTGGTGTCTCTTTTCGGTGTCAATAATCTCAGCCTCCTGGTGTCTGGATTTCTGCAGCGGCTTATTCTTGAAGTAAGCATCAGTGAGGTTTTTGGGATTTTCACTTTTTTTTTCTTTTTTGCTGATAACAATTTTTGTGGAGGTGGCAATGATAAATTTCTGCTGTGTTCTTCGTAGAGCAACACGATGAAGGCTAAAAAGCCCAGTCGCAAGTAGAAAGCCACTGGCCAACTGCTTCAGGAAGACCACTTTCTTGCCTCTGTGACACCAGGTGAGGATGATCAAGTGCCAGGAGTGATACTAACTCAAAGTTTCCTCACATGCTGACTGAAGGATTTCTTGCCGTGGCTCAAAAGCTTTCGGGGTGTACCTTTAGTAGGGTAGCATTTAGGTATTTTTTTGAGCTTAACCACACGGGTACCACCATTCTTGCCCCCACCGACAGGTTTTGTGATCCTAGCAAGAACTTTCTCCTTTTTCTTCTCAACCTTTGATTTAGCAGCTGTGTACTTTCACTTGTACAAAACCTTTCTGGAACACATGGCAGATCGGGAGTATCTACCCATTCATTCCTCTATGACAGGATTTCGGCTCCAGTGGGGCTGCCCCTTCTTGGACTTTTTGCCTTCACCTTACCCTTTTTACCAGTACCACTGGCAGCAGCTTTCTTGGCTTCAGGTATCTTCTCTCTAGTGTCTGGCTTCTCAGTTTTTTTGCTCTCATCTTGCAAGATGGGAAAGAGAACTAAGTTTCCCTTATTCAGATTTCTTGTAGCTCAGACTCAAAACAGGAGACCCACAAGTTAGAGACAACAGTTTAATATGGCTCAGTTTGGGGACTCAATTGGCCCCAAAGCCAAAAGGGCAGGGTGGAGAAAGCTACCTAATTATGGCACTCAGGAAGCAGAAAAAGAAAGCAGGTGCCCAACAGCAAAAGACCGTCCAAAGGTGGGTCCCACAGGACTTTCACCCAGGCCCCACCTCCTAACAGCACACTTACCTAGGAACTCATCAATGGATTTGTCCACTGAAGAACTATATCACCCATGTGATCCAGTCACCTTCCAAAAGTCCTACCTCTGAACACATGAGACATTGGGGGATATTCTAGATCTAAATTGTAACACTAGGCAAGACTATGAGATGCCTATCTCAAAAATAAAAAAAAGGGGACTAGGGAGATGGCTCAGTAGAATAAGCACTTCCCTGGCAAGCACAAGGGGCTGAGTTCAATCCCCAGTTCCACCAAAAAATAAATAAATAAATAAAAAATTTTAAAAGGTAATGCTGCCCAAAACCCTCAACTCTTCTTCACAGGAATATAATTAAGAAAAGAATAGCTGTGTCTTATATAGCTTAAGGCATTTATCTGCATATAAATAAAGAAATAAGTGATCTCCAACTCCCTTACAGAGTTACATAGTCTAACTGATGTAAACACATAATCCAAGAGTGACTACAACTGGAAAGTAAAAAAATAATACTATGAACCATATGTCTCTATAGGAAAAATTTATAAAATCTTAACTTCTTAATACAAATGTAAGAAATAAAACAAATATTAAGGTAATAGAACAATGAGACAAGTGATTAAAAAAAAAGTAAAAAGTTTTAAGGACAAAACATACTTAATCAGAACTATCTGAAAGACTATAAGCATGCACAAAAAAATAACCCACTACATGAAAATTTACCTTTATCTTAGTGTGCACATCAAAGATATCTGGAATGCTACCAAAAATAGTCTTAATCTCTTCTGGTGCAAGGATAGGACCACCACGCTGTCCTTCCTCTTCCAATGGTACCTGAAATAACTAAATAGAAAAAGAGTAGTTTAGGTAGATTGTTAAAAACAAAGACCAAGGGAGGGATGGGGGAATAGAATAAAACAATGGTGAAAGAGAGATGAGATGTTACTGAAGAGAAAAACAACAACAGAAAATAATTTCCCTAAATTTGGATATACTTTTCTCCTAATATTTTCAATTCATTTATTTACATACGTGTATATATAGGAGTATACACACACACACACATATATATACATATATATATATATATATATGTATGTGTGTGTGTGTGTATATATATATATATATATATATACAGATCCATGAAGTATCATTTTAGAAGCTAAAACAAGTTTATTTTAGAAAAAAAAAATCATTAAAGTTGTTACAATTTCTTCTTTGTTGAAGTTACAAAGAAGAAAGCAATAAGTAGTTATTTCCAGACATATGTTTAACATAAGTACTAACTGTTTTAAAAATCATACTGTAGAAATTTCATTTAGGACAGAGTCGATGTGGTACTGTAGAATCTCTCTAAATACATGTTGTTGCTTGTATTAATCTAAAAGGCAAAAGTAAACAAACAAAACAGGAAAAAACTTGAACCAATACAATGGCAGTGTACATACACACACACAAACGTTTGAAAATATATATGTGTGTGTCCATTTCAACCGAAATAATTATACATGTTGAAAATAAAATTTTAAAAGCAGTATCATTTATAATCAGAAAATAATAAAGTATAATAAAATATGTACATATGCTGAAAAGTACAGAAAGCAGATAAAAAGAAATCAGAGTTAAATGAAGACACAACCACATACTGAAAGGCTCAACACAACATGGCCAATCCTCCTATTAGTTGATCTATGCATTTTAACACAATGCCAATCAAAGTTCTACATTTTTTGCAGATAAAGAAAATTAATTCTAAATATTGTATGGAAAGGCAAAGTAATTGTTTAGCTACAAAGCCCCAATATTCAAGTTTGTACAGCATTGCTAAGGTGAAGAACATAGAATCAATGGTGAATTCACATAAGGTGAGGATTAGAATTAAAGTACAGAAAAAAACCTATACAATATGGCCAAGTAATATTTCACAAAAGCATACTATGTGCTTTAAGTATTTGCCAATCACATATCTGATGAACTAATGTCTAAAATATATAAGGAATTCTCAAAACTCAGGAAGGAAATAATCCAAATTTAAAATAGGCAATAAACTTAAATGGTTAATTCTATAGGCAAGCAAAATATAGCAAATGAGGACAATACATATTCATTAATCATGAAAATGAAAAGTAATGTCACCATGGCATGCCATTATAACTTTAGCCTTTTAGAATGACTGAAATAATACTGAAACTTTTAAGCACTGGTGAGGATGTAAGTAATTAGAACTTCCATACATTGCTTACAGACATGCAAAATTGTATAGCATGTTTGAAAAAACACTTGGTAGTTTCCTATTAAGTCAAACATTATTTTCTATATGATCCATCAATATCAGCTCTCCTGATATTTACTCAAGAGAAACATTTATGTTTCACATAAAACCTGTACATAAATGTTGATATTTGCTTTATTCATAACCACCCAATACAAGAAACAACTCAGATGTCCATTAATGAGTCAAGAAATAAGCTAAAGTATATCCATGTGATGGAATACTGTACTACTCAGCAATAAAAAAGAACATATTCTTGACGCACTGATGATTCAAGGGCTAACGGACCAGTCTCAAAAGATTATGTATGACATGATTACATTTATATGACATTCTCAAAAAAGACAAATACTACAGTGAAGTAGTAAAAGAGAAAAGATGAATCAGTCTTTACTAGTGGATGGGTGAAAAAAGGCATGATATATAAAGGAGGAGAACCAAGAAGATTTTCAGGGGTAGAAAAGTTCTATATTTTGATTGTGGCTACATAAACTTTGGCATGTGCCACACTTGACAAGTGCTCATTTTAAAATGGATTTAAAAGTACTATTTCAAAAGTCAATTGACTACTAAAAGTAAAAATGATCATGTATTACTGGGTTCTTCACAGAGGTGTGATCAAAAATACAAAATACGTTAAAATGTATTACGGTAAAATATTCCCTGAAAATATTCCCCTTTACTTCAGACAAACATCCCATCATTCTTGCCACATTTGGAAGTACTTCTGGAAGTCCTCTTTCATGTCTCTAGGTGCACTGGTTATCATGGCTGCTTCAATGTCCCCAATCAACTGAAAATGTTTACCTTTTATGGTAATTTTGGCTTTGGGGAAAGAGTCAGATCCAGTGAACAAGGTAGATGAGGACACACTAATGTTCTTACGAATTGGCCATCCCATTGGATAGCACTTGGCGGCAGCATCCACTGTGTTGGTTTTTTAGCAAACTTCATAAAGACACTCAAGAGATGCAGGGAAAGCTCAGTGGTTTAAGCACCTCAAGTGCAAAGTCCTGAGTTCAATCCCAGTACCAAAACTAAATAAATAAAGACACAAATAAGGACTTCCAGAATGCTTCAGAGTGGCAAGATTGATGAGATGTGTTGCCTTTATTGCTGAGTGGATTTAAAAAAATTTAAACATTCACCTTATTTTTGAGTACTCCTTGCATACAGGAGTAAAATGAATAACAGTAATAGAGAACAGGATGGGTTGAATAAGTTTTAAAAAATTCTCCAAATAGTAAGAAACTTCATGAAGAATTGTTACTATTAGCCAGGGGTCCACATACACTGGGTATAAAACCCAGGGCCTTGCATGCTAAGCATGAGTTCTACCACTGAGCAAACAATTCTTTTTCATGTTATTTTTTTCCTGATGGCATTTTCTTAAACTACTTCCTTCATTCCCTAAAACAAATTTATCCTTTCTACCAATGTCAAAATAATATCTTATTGTATCTTTTAGAACTTTGAATTTCAGTTTATTCCTTCTTCAGAAATAACTTCACAGAGCAGTTTGATATTGGTAAGCAATGAGTTCTCATTTATAATTAACCACTGAATATTTCATGTCATGATTGCTGAAAAACATTACTGACAGTATTGCTAAGCTTCATTGCTACTGTTTAGATGATCTTTTTTCAAATACAAACAATATTTAAGCAATGACTTTGAAACATACACTTTTAGAAAAACTTTCTACCATTTCCAAATACAGATGCAGTACCCTAGCAATGGGAAAGTTGTCAGAATCAAAATGGGGTCACTGTGTCAATACTAACCAAAGAAGAGTAAACAGAGCCAGAATTTTTTTTTATAAAGGAAAGATACAATACTGTACAAGAGTAACTAACACAAAAACTGTCAAAACCACAAATTACAGAGGCCACTACAACTTTAAAGAATTGTATAAGGACATCTGCCTAGCAGTCTGTTCAACCATATACTGAACTACTCATTAAAACTAAAGCCAACAACTGTTTCAAACCATCTGATATAATCCTCATATTTCTTTAAAAGCTTTCCCTTACTGCAACTTCTTTTAACTTATCTATATTTTGCTATAGCATACATATTCTTATTGCAATGCTTTGCTAGTCCCAAATATTATTCTTTGGAGAATCTGTTTTAGGTTGACAAGGAACCTGTGAAATTCTGAATCAAACTTGATTTTAAGATCACGGGGGTAGGGGGGCAGGTAGAGATTGAATGCAGGGCTTTACATATGCCAGGCAAGTAGTCTACCACTGAGCTATACCAGTCATTTTAATTTATTTTTGTACTTTGAGACAGACCCTTGCTAATTTCCCCAGCACGACTTTTAAACTGGTATTCTCTTGCCTCAGCCTCCCAAATGATTGGGATTATAAAACTGCATCAATCCACACAATTAAGATCATGCGTTGGCAATCTTTTGTCTATAAAATCATTTGTAACAAGGGTGCCATTTCGAGATAAATAACAGGTACTACTATAATTGACATTTCCTTAACAGCAATTTTATCACACATTTTTATTTTTAACACCTATGTTCAAATTATATCTGTATATAATTTTGTTAGTAATAGTATTCAAAAGAAAACTCACAAAGGTATAAAAAGAACAAAAATGGAAAAACAACTTTCAGATTTTATACTAAAAATCACTTTACAACCAAATTTATACTTACTTGAATAATCGTTGCCAATATATTTACATAATTACTTTCAGTCTGATAAAGCTCTTTTGCAACTTGCCACCTGGCTGACTGCTTTGAAGGAACTGGGGTAGAATTTTTAGAAGACTTACTACAAGACTTTGGGGTTTCTGAAAGGCAAAAAGAAAGATTTAATGGAAGCCAGACCTAAATACCAAATACTACACAGGGGAGTCTCTTATAAATATATCTCCAGCACACAAATTTTCCTTGAAATAAAATTTTCACATAAGCCACAAAAAAAAAAAAAAATTGGTGCCAACCTGATAAAACATTTTAATGATAAATGGCCTACATGCTTCAAACATATCAAGGTCATTTGATACAAAGAACAATAAGCAATTGTTCCCAATTACAGAAGACTAGAAAGAAAAGAATATATGATACTGGATTTAATCCCAGGATCCCCCACAAATCCTTTCTCATACTAAATAGGACATTAAGCCATTAGTGGAACAATTAGAAAAATTTGAAATCAATAGTTTACATGTCTGCAACATACTCTCAAACCGTATAGATATTTAAAAATGTATGTGTATATAGATTCTGGCTGAATTAATTCTACAGTAAATACGGTAGAATATTCCCACTTGGAGAATATAGAAGGCATAGGGGTCTTTATAAAGCTAAATAAAATAAAATAGAAGTGCCATGTGATGTTTAAAAACAGCACTACTATGATTACACAAGTACAACAGTGGAAAACTTTTCATACACTAAGGGAGGTAGACCCCCCTCACAACCCACCTAAAAAAAATTAACTAAAACTTAAAGTATCTTAATGTAATATAAAACATCTAGTCCAACCCAGAATGCAATTATACATGTATTTCATCAAAGGAAAAAACTTTTCACAACAGCATAAAATGTATTTTCTTACTGTCAATATGGCCAGAATACTTGGTTATATACAGCATCTCTTAAGAAGTTTTTGATAGGAAAAGGGATATACAACACAAAAATGAAATATGTGACATGAAAATGATATATAATTCCAGCATGTTGACTTTATTCAATGGTAATTTAAACATTTTTGTATAAAAACAGTCACATGTACTATTCAGTGCCACTTGGCTGTTTCTACTACTTTTGAAAGATAGCAGACTTCAAAGAAACTCCACTTCCATTATTCCAAGCTATATTTTCACCACACCCCTAAGCTCTGCCATAACAGCTCACTTCAATGAAAAAAAATCTAGATACACTGATCTAATTTAATTATACTGTGTCCAAAGATCTCCCCCAAAAGCTCAATTTCTCCAGCTGCATTTTTGACTTTTCTACATCATGCATTCTGCTTTAAAGTCACTGAATGTCTTTGTATTACTGTACATTTTAAGTGCCTATGTAACCTGTTGTCTCACACTCTAATAATACTCTCACCTTAAGGCATACTACCTTTCTTATTCTTCAAATATTTCTGCAGTATCTCAGGACCTTTATGTGTCTTTTCTGCCTCAAGGAAAACTTACTAAATTCCTTAAGCTGAAGACAGCAATGTGTAATACCAGGGTCATGCTTGGAATGCCTGTCATTTTGGTCTTCTAAATAATACTGCTTGTCATGTCATACCAATCACTGCCATACTGTCTGTAAAGTAAATAATTTGTTTTTTTAAAAAAGGGGATAATAAATGAAAATAAGAGACAAAAAAAAGTTACAGGACTGTCCTGCTACAATGCTGTATATGGTTAGATTTCTAAATTTCTGTGTAAAAATATGTAATTGTTTATTCCTATTTTTTTAATTTCTTCCTTCATATTCTGTGGGGACTTAAAGTTTAGCATATCAATACATGATGGAAAATATCTGTTCCAGGTTATGTCTAAGATGTTTAATATTCAGACAGATAGTGAGGATAAGCTCAACTGCCTATACTGTAGGTTAATAGTAATAGTAATAGTAATAAGCTTCTCTTCAGCAGAGTTAACCTAAGTTTGCAGACCACAAATTAGAGAAAAAGGAGGGCTGTAAGGACAGCCAACATTTTGGCACTAGCCTTTCAAGGTTAGTGAAGACTCAAGACATAAGAGAACCTGTACTGTAACATCATTTAACTCAGTTGTTCCCAAATTTTCTGATCAAGGAGATTATGGGGCCACAGAAAAAACTGATCAATAATGTAGAGTGTATCTAAGGAGAGTCATATGGAGAGAAAACATTCTCTCAGGCTTTCACAGAGAGCAAGTTGGTCAAGCAATGGCCGTGACTCATCCACATGGCTGAAACTGGCAAAGGTTCTACAAACTGTGGTATAGGGCTTCAGGATAAATCCTGAGGGGATTTGACTGACCTTGTCAGATACAAAAGTTACATTTCTTGTTACATAGGTCTTGCCTTATCTTGGTCTTAACCATCCAGCAGAAAAGTATAAAAATGAAGTATAAAAAGTAAAGCCATATTAACATGCTGAGCTGTAAAAGGCTCAAGTCAACAACTTCCAACATTGCCAGTCCTATGGAAAACCCACTATTATTATGGACTACTGGGCTATATTGGAATATTTTGTTGAATTCACGCACTTACAATATTTAAATGACAATGAAATACCCTTCTCTGACAAAACTAAACAACAACAAAAAAAGGGGATACAAATGATCGACCATTTTGTATCTTTATATTCAAAATAGGATAAATACACAGCTACTTTCTCTTAATTCAATGAATAGAAAGATTGTTCTAATAATGTTTGTGAACAGGATATCATGTCTGCATCTTATACTATGAATAACCACTAAGAAGACAACAATATGCAATGTATTAATTATTGAAACTGTCCTACTAATTGGTTTTGAAACTGTCTCATTGCTATTTGTTTCTCAATGAAATTATTAAAAAACAAAAAAAAGATTAGGTTCTCTTCTATAACTTCTTCCTACCAATCACCTCACTTTTTGCTTATATCAAGTAGTAGTTAGCACTGTTAGAAATTACAGATACAGCCAAATAGCTTGGCAGATTAAAGTGCCTGCTTAGGCAGACACAGGGCCGGGAGTTCAATCCCCAGGCCTGTGGTGCCAGCCCCGCCCCGGGGCATACTGAGACTATGACAGACACTGGGCATGGTGGCGCACACCTGTAATCCCAGCACTTGGGAGGGTGTAAACAGGAAGATCATTGAGTCTGATATACACAGTGAGACCCTATACACCCTGTCCTAAATACAAAAAAAAAAAGGAAATTATGTACTTAAAAACACTTCTTCATTACTTGATTTGCTTCATCAGAATGTGAGCTGAAAGAGAACATAACCTTCTCTTATTTTCTACTTTATTCTCAGACCCTAGTACAGAGTTGGTACTCATTAAATATTCATGAAAGGAACTGAAAACATGTTTTAGTTCAGAAAGCTGAGGTGAACTGGAGAATAAGAGGAATAAGAATACATTATTACAAACAGATTGTTTTTAAGGAATATTGGATAGGTCAATTTGGAGTATTGAAGAGTAATAGTTACATTAAAAAGATCTAATTTAAGATCTAGCTAGGACCTTCCTAACTTAGAAATCAGACTAGCGTGACTGGATTGTATTTTGTCATAAACAAAGAATCTTAGAAACCTTTAAGCAGTGGTGTGAATAATTTTTAATAGTTGGAAAAATAGCTGGGGGAGGCAGTTTGGAGACAGCCAAACCAAGAAATAATCCACTGTCATGACCTGGGCCATGAGATAATAAAGCACTGAGTCAAGGCAAGTGGTTGGAAAGAAAAGAAGCATTAGGAAAATACTGACAGGGGCTGGGGAGATGGCTCAGTAGAAGAAGCACTTGCCTGGCAAGCGTAAGTGAAGAGTAAAAGATGAAGGTGAAGCATCGATTCAAATGCAACACTGCCTTAACATAAATAGGATGATTATGTCTTGGAGGAAGATAGTGAAGTTCTAAAAAAAGCCAGGTTACATTAAGAAATACCTTGTAGGGCAGGGGAGATAGTTCAGTGGTCTAAGCACCTGCCTGGCAAGCACAAGGACCCAGGTAAGATCCCCAGTACCACATGCTGTACAGGCCCCACACTGAGGCGGCCACTGAAATCAGGCATGGTGGTGCATACCTATACTCCCAAAGCTGGGAAGGCTGAGACAGGAGGATCTCTATGAGTGTGCGCTGTGTATCGAGGCCCTGTACCAAATGAATAGACAGACAGACGATTATAAAAAAATTTAAATAAAAAAGAAATTGAGATTTTTTTACAGAAAAAATGAAGGACGATAAAGGAATAACTGAGTAGTAAAATCAAAAGTTCAAATTTCCTTAGAATGCTTATCAGACATGTTTCAAGAAAATATCAAGTAGGCAGCTAGATAAGGAAGAAGACAAACTTGGGAGCCATTAGCCTACAAGTGGTATTTAAGCCCATTAAACAAGATCATTTAGAAAGAATAAACAATGACTCAGAAGGAACATAAAACATTTAGATTCAGAGCTGGAGAGAAAAACTAGCGAAGGGGGAAGAGAAGCAAATAATATCACTAAAGCACAAAGGGAAAAAAACAGAAGGAGAAGCTGTTAATAAACTAAATGCTATGGATTATTCTCAGCAGCAATATTACACAGTAGGGCCTGCAGCAGGATTGAAATGATTTGAAAAGATAGTTAAGCAGGAAACGAGTCAGCAAACCAAGGTAATTCTTTGAAGCACTACTGATGTGAAAAAGAAGAGAAAACTGGGACAGTACAATGGGAGGGCCAAGATTTGGATTTTGTAACTCTAGAAAATATAATGTATTTGTCTACAGACTAAAAAGAAAAATACCGACGATCAAGAAAGAAGAGTTAATTGTAGGAACATGCCTGTAGTAAGTAAGCAAAAACTAAACTCATCCTTTTTTTCTTTGTATTTAGTACAGGATCTGCTGGGTCTCACGACATAGATCGAAGTTGTAGTAATTCTCCTGTTTTCAGTCCCCCAAGCACTGGGATTACAGGCACACAGTACCACTCCCAGTCTCAGTCACAGTCTCGGCGTGCTCCGGGGGCGGAGCCTGCACAGCATACTAGGGACTGAACGCTGGCTCTGCCTAAGCAGGTGCTTTAAGTCCGCTGAGCTATGTGGCCGGCCCTGAACTCATCCTCTTAACTTCATGGTGCTGTTGTCCCCATAGTTCACGTTAAAAACACTCATGATTTTGTGTAGCTGGTATTCAAAATTTGCTTTTGAGGCTAAAGATGTAGCTCAGTGGTAAAGCATTAGCTTTTAACATATACAGAGATCATGGGTTTAATCTCTAGCACTGAGCAAATACAAAAAAAGAATTCCTTTTCCGTTACACTCTAGCTATAAACCTCCCCAAGTTACTTAACTTCTTTGTATCTCAGTTTAGTCACCTAAAAATAGGAATGATAAGTCATTATAATACCACTTAGCATGTAAGTGAACAATCAAACAGAAGCATTATTCTGCATAACTTTTTCATGTATCTTTTCTCAAAAAGAAGAAAAGTAAAGACAAAGCCTTTCAAATTCTGTAGTAGGGATTTTTCTATATTCTAATAATTATTCCACTCTACTAAAGATCAATTTTTTAAAATGTAAATTACCTCCATAGTTGACGCTAGACTCTGGAGTATTGGAAATATCAAGGAGTGATCCTATAGAAAGAGAATGCTCAGCCGATGGTCGCTTCCGGGGAGGAAAAGGTGACAAGTCTGTCTCTTTTGAAAGCTGAGCAAGTGTCTCTTTTAAACGACGTCTTTTGCGATTGCTGTTTGGGGTATGTAGAGAAAGCAGGGACACTGATTTCTTGAGCTCAGGAGTATTAGCCTATAAGCAAAAGCATAGAAGCTCAGCTTTACTTTTATGGGCTTTTTTTTTTTTTTTTTTGAGACAGAAACAGAACAAAATGATAGGAGTTTGATAAAAATCTGGATTTTTACAATATTTTTACAACCCTATACTCTGATAATCCAGAAGACCACTCTAGCTGTCTAACCCCAGTAACTCACACTTTCTCTGCATACCACTGTCAACACTAGATATCCACCTGTGTGCTCCAGTCCTCCATGAGGTTATAAACTCCCTGAGCATAGAGGTCACACATTTTCAGGTCACTTTCCCCAACAGAACATAGTACTTTCAAATATTTGCTGAATAACACTTGACTCTTAAGAACTCTCTCCCTGAACATAAAGCACACTTTTAAACTTTATGTTAAAAAACTTTATATTATGAACAAGAGTCGAAAGAAAGCACAGTATGGTTCCTATTTAGATTTTATCAAGTAATAAATCTATACTTCACCTTTAATGTTTTGCTTAAAATTACTGAATCCCAACCTGAAGTATATTCATTAAAGCTTGTTATCATTTGAATATTAGTCTTCCCTGACAGCAAGCATGAAGACTAGATTTTCCTTGCCTATACTGCATTAAAATATCCACTTTAATAACATTTCTTTCCTCCAGACTCTGTAATGTATTAAAAACTTGATTCTGCCTATCAAATTTTATCTACCTGCCTTTCCCTTGCTCTTTTTTACAGTCATACTCAACTACTTACTACTTTAATGTACTCTCAGGTTTTATACCTTCTCTTCCCACCTCTTGTTCTAACCTATATGCCATCATTACTTGGTGAGCCTAGTGTTGGCTCAACATTTGCCCTTTTCAGTCCTGCTCTAAAGAGCGAGTACACTACTCAGTTATAGCTCACCTCATTTTATGTAGTAGTAATTTGCAATCATATCTCTTCATTAAGGTTTTAAGTTTCTAACAGTAACAGAGATGTTACTGTTCATAAAAGTATCACCATGAATTAACACAGAATGACATATTAGACTATAACAACACCCACTAAACTATTGCACTTAAATCTACATGGACTAAGAATAATAGTTGATATTAAATTGTTTAATTATTCTGAAACTCTTAAATATCTCATAAAAGATGACACAGATACCAATTATAAAATATTTTCTAAACCTACATAGAAAAAAAATTTTTTTTTTTAAACATATGTTGTACAGGGTTTCACTACTATGCAGCTTTGACTTGTAATAATCTTCCTGTTTTCAGCCTCCCCAGTGCTGTGCGCCACCATGCCCAGACTCAGTCACTGGCTCAGCATGCCTAGGGGCAGGGGCAGCGCTGCCTGTGGTGCCAGGGATCAGTCCCCGCACTTGCCTAAGCAGGCACTTAGTTGGCTGAGCTATCTCGCTGGCCCTTGAAAAGTATTACTTTCATACAATTAAGTTCAACTCAACTACCTAAATGCTAAAAACCATACCTTTTCATACAAATACATAGTCTCTCCAGCGCGAGCATCCATTTGAATGCTTCCCCAGAACCACTGGATAGGAGAAAAATATTTTAAGTTAGAAATTCAGTTCACATTGTCAGAGACCTTCTTAATAACTCTGAAATATAAAAATAAAAACTTTCTAGAATTACTTGCCTCTTGCTTGACAACATAAAGTTTCTTTGAAGGTTCAAATGGAAGTTCTTTTACTATATTCTCTTCAACTATAAGGTGAGTGCATCTTTCATCTCCAACTGGTAAACAGTTACCTCCTAAAGAGCAAAGCATACAAGCACAAATAAGCCAAACTACTTATCTCAAAACCTAAATTATAAAGAAGCATATCCCCTAGGAACTGATTAAGCTCCCCCAAGGAGTACAATGCACGTAACTTTAAACTTCAGCTAATTTTACCTTGCATTTCAGTCATTTCTTCCATACTGGTTTTCTCTTCATCTGAAAATCCCAGGAAACTTAAAATGCAATCTTGAAATGGAGGAACTTTAAATTCATTTCTAAAATCATCAATTGCTGCACAGAAATTCCTGAAATTGAAATACACTTCTAAAACCAGTTTACCTTAATCAGCAAGTATCAACATAAAAGTCTGAAGTAATTCTCAAAATATTAGCATAATGCATTTCTTAAATACGTTTTACATTTGGTCCTGAAATAGTCACAAAAACTTCCAAAATCTGGGCACTTGGGGTACATATACGTGCTTAGCACGCCAGAGACAGTGGGTTCAGTGTCCAGCCCCATCAAAACCAACAACAAAAAAGCTGATATACTGTTCTCAAGTCATCCCTGAAGGAACTTCTGACAAAATGTGATCACTTGCAACTTTTACAAGATGCAACGCCTGCTGTGTATTTAAAATTTCATGGGGGCCTGCCCCTTAGTTCAGTTCTTTAAGTGGCTGCTTCTACAAAGCATTCAGGCTCAGGTTGCTGTGGTTTGATCCCCACAACTCAAGCCAGCCAAACCTGCCCTGAAAGCATTCGGAGCAAAAAATAAATAAATAAAAAATAAAATAAAATTTCATACGTATTTCAGGAGTTTCATTTTCTGAGATTATGATGAAAGGCCAGAGTAAGAAATGAAGGGGTTGGAAAGTTCAGCAAAATAAGGAAATGAACTGCAAGCAGAAATTAAAATATAACCACAAAAATATAATAAAAAATAAAACAACCCAAATACTCAGACGTGTTAAGCTTAAATTGAATAATTTTAGAATGTTTATGAGTCTCATTTATTTCACAAAGTAAAACCTGAAGTATACCAAAATGTCTTTCAAGTTTGTATGTATTTAAAACCTAGGTTATAGGGAAAAAAAGAAAAAACTTAGGTTTTATATATAAGCTTACCGACTGAATTTATATTTTTTCTATACTATCTATGAATTTAGTTTTTTGGTACATGATTTATCTTTAAGCCATATGCTGAATTCATAAAATGAGCTACTGAATTCCTAAATACTTACTGTTCATTCCGTCTTTCCCATGCTTTATAAATCCAGTCTGGCTTCATAATTGGAGTACCCAGACTCACAGCAACCTAAAAATAATATTAATTACAATGAGTTTTCATCTTAAAAAACTGCATTCAGGGTAGTTCTAGACAAATATACCTTTTTAGCATACTTTTAGGTTACCACTCATCTACTTTATAACAACATACAAAGACATATTAAAACTCTCTCAATCTTCCAAGTTAAAATAACTCCCAGAGTGTCCAAACTCTTCTATATTTTAGTTTAAATAAATACAGCATGTTTTGCTGAGCATGGTGGCAACCACCTATAACCCAAGCTATCTAGAAGGCCGAGAGAGGAAGGCTATCTAAAGGTCAGACTGGGCAATTTAGCGAGACCTCATCTCAAACCACATACAGCTGAGCAATCCCTGGGTTCAATCCCCAGTACCATAAATAGACACACTAGATAAATGGAGAGATCTTTATTAAATTGATCCTTATTAAATTTCTATTTCTCTTTTCTTCACGTTTACTGCCATGTAAGTACTAGCACAGTACTACAGAAAATATCTGATTAAGTCACCAAAAACTTACATGTGACAGAAAGTTTAGGGTAATTTTAAGATTACCCTAAAATTACCATTTGCTACATAAATATAACAAGGGAGTGTAAGAACAGATTACAAATTAAAATCTTGCTAAGACATTCAACTACAATTTTAAACTAGGATCTCAATCCTTATAAAAGTGCTTTCTCCTGTGCTTATAATTTTCACAAATTAAATCAGAGAATGAGTTTATAAAAAAACTTATAAAAACCACTTAGAGTAAAGCATCTGCTCTCATCTTACTTGACCACTTTATTATCAATGGTCATGTGTAACCTTTGCTAATATTATTCATCTGCCTCTAATATTACCCACCTACTAAGCCTCAAATCCTACCTCTTTTAATACCCAGTTCAAGTTCTATTGCCTTCTTAACCACTAAGGGATCACATTCCTACGATTTAAAACCTAAGTTTACTCAGCAAAATCTGAATTTCTGCCCACCAATAAATTGTAAGAGAAATAGATTCAGACAAGTGCTATTATCAAAAACATCCCAAAATAATGCTATCTTAAAAAACATAAGAATAGTGTTTACATACCCTGAATTTTTCTCCTTGTGTGCAGTTTGCCACCAAATGTGTAACTTTTGAATTAAAATCTTTTCGAATAACTCCACCCATATGATGGACCAATGTCACCAATCTGAC